TTTGTTTTTTCAGTGAATTTTTAGCAGCAAAAATATTTTGAATTACAATGGTTTATATATAATTTTTAGCTCTATTTTCGCTCTATATTTCTATAATAATCATTTTGTTCCAAAATTATGAAAAAATATTTACTAGGTGTTTTTGTTTAGATGTCAAAACGAGATTTTCTGCAAATTTACTTTTATGAGTACAAGCTAGGCTACAGCGCAGCACAAACGGCTCGAAATGTCAGCGAAGTATGGGGCGAGAAAATTGTTAATGAATCTACTGTTCAACGGTGGTACCAAAATTTTCGTCGTGAGGAATTTGACCTGGAAGATCAAGAGCGTCGTGGACGCCTTCAGCTGTTGATGACGATGATTTGAAGACTTAGGTTGAAACAAACCCGTGCACAACTGTTCGAGAGCTTGCGGAGAAGCTTGGCGTAAGCAAAATAATGATTTCTGATCACTTAAATCTTATAGGAAAGTCAAAGAAGCTCGATAAGTGGGTGCCTCACGAATTGAGCGAAAATTTAAAAAAACCGCAGTTTTGAATTGCCATCTGCTCTTTTTCTCCGCCATAAAAACAATCCTTTTCTTGATCGAATTGTTACGTGCGATGAAAAGTGGATTCTCTTCAACAACTTGCAACATTCGGCTGGGTGGACAGCGGTCAGACACCACAACACTTTCCAAAGCCAAATTTGCACCAAAAGAAAATTATGGTGACTGTTTGGTGGTCTCCGACCGGTCTCATCCACCACAACTTACTAAATTAGGGCGAAAGGATTACCGCAGATAAATACTGTCAGCAAATCAGCGAAATGCCTCAAAAATTGCAACGCATGTGCTCGACATTGGTCAACAGAAACGCGGCCAGTTCTTCTTCCATGACAAATGCTCGGCCGGACGTCGTGCAACTGATCTTACTACCTACCTCCGAAAATTGAACGAATTGGGATACGAGACTCTCCCTCTTCCCCCATATTCGCCTGACCTCTCGCGACCCATTACCACTTTTTCAAACATCTGGATAACATTCTTTGCAGAAGAAATGCTTCAGAAACCAAGACGAGGTGAGGCAAAAACGCCTTTGAACAACGTTTATCGCGTCCAGAAACTCCAGAATTTATTAAGGATACCGGCATAAATAAACTTATATCTCGTTGGCAAAAATGCATTGATTCAGCTGGTGCTTATTTTAAAACAATTTTATTAATAAAATTGTCTTTGAGTTGAGTTATGATAAAGATATAGGTTAAAAACCTACATTATTTTATTCGGACAATATAATATATTGTTCTTGTGTTCTAATTAAGATTTTTATGACTTTATTTAATCAGGCAATAGTTTCAGAATATCAACAATTTAAAAGTTTAATCGGCACTAGACCTAAAAAGGCTGCCATTTGCTTACATTAGACACTATTGCCGAATTGCTTATTTTTTCATAGAAACTTTCATTTTGATTGTCAGAATTGTTTTCTTAATAATTGTTTACTGTATTTGATTTTTTTTATTTCACAATTTTCAATGAAGATGATATCATAGTTTTTAATGTTTTAAATTTTTATGTATTTTTGCTTTGGACGGAAGTCAGAACTGAATTTATTGAATGAGAAATATATCTCCAATCAAATTTGAGGAAATAAGTTTAATTGAATTTAATTAAATTAGTTTACATGAAGTTTAAATAAAGTGCAGAAAAAATTGTTGATAATATAATATAGGCCATACAAGGCAGTCATAGGGTACCCACATCAGATATTTTTACACAAAACAATACTTGGTTACTTTATCTTGAGTGTGAACAACTTTTCCTGGGTTAAGTAATATTAGATATTCAATTGTGACAAAGATTTTAATACTTTTCTTAAAGAGTAAAAATGTAGTCTTTGATCGAAAACTTAACGTATATGCCTCGACAGACGATATTTAACTGCATTAAATGATGGTTGAATTTCAAAATGATACAGCGTGTTGCCAAATAATTCTTTTGGAAAAGGTTCTATCGGAACATTTTAAATACTTTTGTTTTATCAAATTCATTGTAAAAAGTCTAAACAGACTTTGATATATTAGAAAATACAATTGTGTGTATGTTGTAACACAATGCCTGTAAAACTTATTCGAAAATAAATTTTATAAAAATGTATGATACTCTTTATAGAAATATCGAAATCAGAGGAGAATAATAATGGGGTTTATAAAAATTATCTTTCTAAGTTTTGCTTATATATTCATTTTCCTTACTACAATATCCCAGCATAACATTGGCTTACTGCAGCGTTTCTCCCTGTCCTTAACTATTTGAGACACAATTTTCAGTAATTTACAATTCATTTTCAGCAACTAAGTGCATTTGGTTTTTGCAACAAATTGTGAATATTTTAATGAATGCATTCTATGAAAGTAATACATTAAGACAAAAATTTTGTTAACTTCTTTTTATTATGTTCTTCTTTTTATACTGAAAGAAGCCCACCAGCGGTCGAGCGGTAAAGACGCTGAACACTGGTAGTTCGGTCTGAGGTTCGAATCCCGCGAACGGACTGGCTGCATGGGCGTTTTCGTGGTTTTCCGCATGTGTAACGTGTATACGAGCCAGTTTCCCTTAGAAAGTCCTCCACGAAAGGCATCCCTCCCCTTAGGCAGATAGCCCTCGTGTGCTTTGCCATAATTAAATAATCCAATCCTATACTGAAAGAAAGCTCGTCGTCTGAAAACCTTCCAGAAGCTATAGTTTGGCAATTTCTTATTTGAAGAATTACAAACAATAATCTTAAAGCTAAGAAAATAACATTAAAATATTGTAAATATATTATGAAATACACTGGAAACATTATGAATTGAATATCCTCCATGTAGGTCTGTTTTAGGAAAATTCATAATAATTGAAAACATAAGAGGAAATTGATTACGATCATCTTTGAGCTTATTTATTGAAGTTTTTATGTTAATACAGTTTTTCAGACTCAACTACATTGTATTACATTTACACTCCGTCAGAATAAAGACTATCCAACGTAATGTTTTGTATTCTGTCGGGAAATAAAACACTTTTATATGATATTATGAATACTGATATCAAATGAAATTTTCTTTGTGAAATTCTGCCGTAGTGCTTTAGTTGTGAGATAAAAAGCTTTAGTAAAAGTACTAACTCTATTTTATTAACTTTTAATTCATATACATGTTAAAAGAATTTAAGCGATTTTTGAATATTTTTATGGAAACGCAGGATAAAAACTTTCAAATGCAGGTTCTGAAGCAGGCAATCAAAATAATTTATGCACCGTCAGGTAATAGATCTCGTAAAGGTTTTATATTTAAAAAAAAGGGGATAAAACGACAATTTCTTACATTGGAATCATGCTTGTTGCCACATCTTTCGGATGAGAAGTTGGAATGTTTCGAAGGTCCAAAGTTTCAGTGAAATGGAACGTTGTAATATATTCTTCAAAAAATTATATTTCTTCTGAACATACAAACCCTGGCACATATATGAGCAGAAAGTACTTTATAACCTGACCATTAAATACATAACTTTAAATTATTTTCTAAGTAATAATATTTTACCACTTAACAAAATAAAAAAAAAGTTTATTAATAAGTTATTGAAATAATTACATTGAATTTTCGATGCATATTAATATATTTATAAAGTATTATTATTCTAAATGGCTATTTAGTCTCAAAACACGAATTTTGTTCTTTGATTTTAACGTGTTGTTTCACTTTTCAACGAGTCTGTTGCCATTCACCGAAACATAATATATTATTCTCTCATTTAATCTGTAAAATAAAACCCGAAAGCTTTGAGATTCTATATTACGTCCAAAGGAGCGTTTTCTTAACATTTTGTGTGTTACCTTTATTTATTACAAATTATGTTCTTCGCACTTAAACCATATTGTAAATATATTATGAATATATTTCAATTAAACAGCAATATCGCAAAATAATTTTAAAATGATCATATCTTTACAATTTCCGCTACATAGTCTCGCGCGCTTGAGATAATTTTTTTTCCGTACGCTGTTGCCATTGCTCGCTTTGAAATCGTTGAGTGTGTGTGTTAATCAAAAATTCGTTAAAGTGCTACAAAATATTAAATCGATAATAAAACAAATTTCAAATTCCGAATTCGGGCTTCCAGATGCCCATATTCGGTGTAAGATTACGTTATTCAAAATTTGCTGACTGTAGATACCGTTGTTTTATGACAATTCGAGAAACATACATACATATTTGCAGATTCTTCATTATTTAATAAGTAAAATACAGGGCTCTAATATTTGGTAGCAACAATTTGAAACGTGAACCGACATTTATAGTGAACCAGCGCATAATGCCAAAACGAAATAAATAGCCCTTCTGGGTTAACTCCCTTTGGACTAACAAAGATAAAAAATTTTGAATTCAGTGAAAATAAAGTTCTTCCTGTAGGATAAAATTCTTTCAAATTTTATGATATAATTTAATAATTTTTCATATTTAATGTGTCAAATTTAATCTTTAATATTTTGTTAATTAATAAATTAAATTATATAAAAGCAATAGATTCCTTTCTTAAGAATATTACGTTTTTATCGATTGGTTTAAATAAAAATGCATTTAATTCGTGATATATCTAAATAAGAACATTAAATAATTTTATAGAATTATATTACATATATTTTCTCTTTTCAAAGATGTATAAAGTTCTAAAGTTAGTCTAAATGCATTTTTATCTAATACCTTGTAAATTATTTCGCTATTCCACCTGGGCCATCTGTATCGATAATCTCTACTGATAAACCATACAATCTTTAAAAGAGCCCTTTTGGTGCGATCATGAAAACCTGAATAATTTCAGACACATTTTTCATTTCTTTCTTTTTCTTTTATGTTGGTCTCTTTCCTAATAAATAGCTTTAAGTGTTTCACAAAATATCATTCTTAAATTTGAAACTTACCTTTAAACCTGTCCAAATATCAGGTATCTGATAATAAAACGTGAATATTTTTTTCTTTAAGATTTATAGGAGAAAAGGGAACAATCATCCTCAACTCTTCAAAGCAGATAGCGATAGGAAAATACCACCATGTGTCGCTCAAATGTCTTCTTCGGTATGCAGTTATGTACTTGGACAAGAAACTGGTTGCCATGGAGCCCTACAGGGAGACTTTTTGTTCCAAATTTTTGCTGAAAAAAATGATCATCGGCTCCCTCCCGAGACTTTCCCAAAGGTAATTTTACTTTCACTATAAATTGTGAATTCGGTTTTCCTTCCAGAATATCGTGCACTTGAATAAAGAACCTTTCTAGTACTTTATATAACATGAAAGGCTGAGTGAAATGTTTATATGCTATAAAACTTCAGCAAAAATATCAGTTATGAAATGAATAAAAGTTCAGTGTCAAAGCATTAAAGTCATGCGGGGTTAAGTGTTGATTGATACCTTGGAATGTAAATTCTTTCTTGTTTCTAATGTTAGCAGGGCTATCAGATATCCTATTACTTAAAACCAAATTGTGTAAAATGTAGCATTTTCTTATGGAAAATACGCGTTTAACAAACCATAGACCGTCATTTTTATAAAAATGTGAAAGGCAGACTCCCATTTTTGTTATGAACGGTAATTTTTTGAATATTTATTTTTTGTATTTATATTATTGAACACTTTTTGAACTAGTTATTTTTTGTTTATTCACTTGTCCTTCGTATTTTGTCTAATACTCTCATCTTTTGTAACTTATCACTTAGTCCGAAAATGCCTTTGAATTCTGTTTTCAATAAAAATTACAATTAAAACTTATAAAAATAAGATATTTACCGCCTCTATATTATGCATAGTTTTCATAAAATCGCTACAAACTCTAACTGACGGCTTAAAATATTTCCTACAGTAAATTAAAAAAAAGATTAGAATTTGAAACCAAATTACAAATTGAAAAGTGCTATGAATATTGACAATACATTTTTACACATATGTGTAAGACAACTTATTAATGAATGCTAAATGAGAATATCAGATTTAAAAGATGTTGACTGCAACTGTTACGAATTCGATTTCATGGCATTACACTGAAAACGTTCCTATGTAAATCGTTTAAAAATGGCTTTGAGTAGCAGGCATTCTGTATTTTGTTCCTGGTATCTAGAAGTGCGTAACTGTCGTTGAATGTTGACTGGTGCATTTGAGAAAGCTGCTTTACCTATGAAATAATTTAGAAGTTGTTGGCATATCATAGTGTGGTTATGAATTGACTATGCATAAAAGATGTTAGCCGTCATGATTGATTGAACACATTTATTTCTGGACAAATGGCTTCGCAGTTCATAGCTCAATGAGCGTAAGCTGAGCGCCCCTTCATCGCATCTGTGCATTTTTCCATCATTGTAAGAATAACAGATGAAAGAGAGATAAATGACAACGACAGTAAGCCAGATGACAGCAGAAAAGCGCGCGCGAGAGAGAGAGAGAATGCGGGAATTCAAGATGAAAGTTTAGTTCTGTTAGATTTGTTACCTTTGGCTAATTTAAAGTTCCCAAAATATACTTATTTGCTGAAGCTCTATGTAAGTATATGGGTCACTGACGTTATGCGAGAATTATATAGCATGGATTAATTTTGCTTTAATCTTCTTAGGGTGTTCGGGTATTTTTTGCCCCATACAAAGTTTATTTCGGATAGATCTATATTTTTAGGAATTTTTTGAAAATATTATGTGACTTTATTTTTTATAATCTTATCAAATATTCAGTTATGTGTAATTTATTTTTTTAAATTTTAGTTTCTTAGAGTAAAAATTATAACACATAAGTCATTCGGTTCCATTTTGACTCATGTGGTATTTTTTGCCCATATAAAGATGAAAATCACAGTTTTCTTATGGTATTGAATTATAATTGTTACGACAACGAAATGTCGCTATCGTTATTTTCCATTATGTAGTTTTCTGTGTTAGTACAATAGATGGCTCTAATAATTCTGTGCTCTCCTCAGCAGATGCTAGTTTCGGTGACCGTATTGGCTTCCCGCACTTTTCTTTCCATGTTCATAAAATGTGTAAACAAACGTTGTTTTCTTCACAATTGATGTTTTACGTATTTTGTTAGAAACTTTCTGAAGCCTACGATATGGCCAATCGTATATTCACTAATGAAAAAGTCGAACCATTGTTGCTTGAACTATTAAATAGATACACCACGCCGAGAATTGAAGACTCCGTATGAATGTTGCTTTTTTCCCTCCAACAGCAGAGAATCTTACTCTAAAAATTAGGATACTGGAGAGAAAAAAAGGTGTTCGGTGACAGTGGAAAGAATTTGAATAACGTTGACTAAGAAGCATTTATTGGCTTGTTGCCACTGTTCTGGGTATATAAATGTCGTAACGTATCTACAGAGAATCTGTGGGATGCCATAACGGGACGAAATATCTTTAAGGCAATATCTTCTTACAGAAATTAAGAATATATAGAAGATCCTTCGATTACATATTGACAACTTAATATGCTTTTTAAATTAAAGTTACCATTAACTTCTTTTAGGAGATGTTATCTGTGTTTTTTGTGATTCGATAATTCATTTGTACACTATATTTGAGACGAAGTTTTTTTTTTTTTTTTTTTTTTTTTTTTTGTCAAATCATGGCTAGCAAGCCAAAGATTCGGTCTCTTGAAGCTCGTTATGGCGGGACTCGACTGTATTAACGTTTTTCAATTTTTGTAATGTGGATATTTAGTTATGGTGTAAGTTGGCATGTTGTTACTCTTATGCTAAAGTGATTACATTGGTGCTTTTCTTCTCACAATCAGACATTAACAGCAAATCTTTGAAGGTTTTCAAGCGATAAAAGCTTATGAAGTTCTTGAAGTTGTATGCTTAAGAGAAAAGCCTATTAGTTGAAGCCATATTATTTCTGCTTCAAACAAGAATTGTAAAACATCACTTTGCCTACCAAAGTCAATCTCACTGGCAGCCGTAAGATAAGTTCTGCAAATAACTCAAGTTTTCGTAATTAAAGTAGATGTAAATATTTTAACGTATGGAAAGACAAAAGCCACGAAGCGTAAAAATGCTGAAATAAATGGCTACGGATAAACGTAAAACAACTGACATGCAATTGATTGATGTTTATGTTTGTCATTCAGATTTATGCATAATAATATTTTGTTGAAAAATTTTATTATGTGTAGTGTTGAATCAAATATTCATGCTTATTTTGATTTTATTTCTATCTTAGAATGCTTCATAGAACATACAATATGTTATAAAAATATTTTACCAAAGATTAAGTGTATTAAAATTTTTACAGTATGATAGCAAATTTACGTTTCATGTATTTGTATTAAGATTTACAGTAGAAGCAAATGAGCCTTTTACAGCTGTTTACTCATTTTTTGCGTATTACAATACTTTGTTTTGCAAGTTGACTTAACCCTTTGGATACATTTGACGAGTGAGACACGTCATCTGCTTACTTGGGCGAAGTTATGGTAGACGAGTCTCACTCGTCATCTGAATTTAAGAAGCAGGCGTTGATTTTTGGGGCACCCCCGCCAGTGAGCCTTGATCGCAAACAATTACCTGACGTTGGTTTATGACATCGTGCATTTGTAAATAAGGTTAAATCCACTTATCTTTATTATTACCCCTGTTTTTTGATACGTTACCCTAAGATGTCAAACTATAGAATGTAAATTAAATCTGTTAAGGTGAAGAGTGGTTCTGGAGGCCCCAGAAAAATAACTCACTGGTCGACTCGGTGGTCTGATAAGTCCTAGAGGTGAGGCCTGTAGTATCCCCGAAGGTAGCATCCCGGGTACGCTGGGTAATGTCCCAGCGTTCTGCGACGGGCAGCCCAAGTGACTAGAAGGTAGTAAATCATAACGATCAGTGTCGCTAAAGCGATGCGTCTCTCTCTCCAAGTTGCAAAGACAGGGGTTGATCTCCTGGCCTGCTTCGGCGAGACGAGAGGAACTTTAGTGTCATTAAGTTCGACGAAAAGGGCTATGTCATGCTATTCCATGCCAATAGTTATGTCATGCTATTCCATTCCATTTTGTTACATTCTTTTAATCAATTCTGTTACATGTTCTTAAATTAAACCAGTCAATTGTGAGAAAAGATTCTAATTTCTATGTGAAACAGAATAATGCATTTATTGAATGAATTTTAAGGGTTTTGAAAATACATGTTTGAATGAAATAAAGTACCCTTATCCAGCGAATCAATTTTAAAAAACAATCATTAAATATAAAGTAAGACAATCGTTTTTATTATATGGTTTCAAAATTCAATGCAATAAAATTTTCATTATACCTTCACAGAATTCATTATAATGTAGTTTTTGTTATTTCTTGCAAGCATTTTGAATTAAAAAAAAAACAGAAATATTCATAAGAATAGGAAAAAATGATTATGCCAAATGAAATACCCAATCTCATTACTGATTGAAATTTAAGCAAAAATTCGTAGTGCACTTCTTTTCCAGAGAAACTCACGTTCTTCTTTAATCTTTCAAGAACTCTAAAAAGCATCGCAAATATAATGCAGAATCACATCATGCTGGGAGTCCCTTGAGGCTCTTCTGTGAAATCTCATTTTTAATTTCGTACCTTTCTTTACAAAAAAAATTTATACGATTTCTGAAGCAAATCAGAAATTGAAGAAATTTATTCTTCCTTCTCTACACACTACATGCCAAAGATATTTTTATTAAATTATCTATTTCGTAGCTTTAAGGCATATAACTTCTTCCTCTTTTCTTCATCTAATCTGAATATTCGGATAAAATATGTGAGTTATTGGAGGGGTAAAAAAAAGAATATCCTCTTGAAATAAGTAAGCGATTTTAAAAATACTGGAGTTTTATTTTGTAATGCTAAGGTAATTCTTCATAAATTTCTGTAATGAAATAAACTAAAAATAACGTAATTCTTGAAATTTCAAGACCAGTAAAACTAATGCCAATTTCGAGTGAAGATAATGCTTAAATATAATTTTCAGATGCTTGAAGCATTGAATACAGATTCCCTTTCCCCCATTAGCTTAGAGTCATTAATGATTCTCATTAAAGTTTTTCTTCCGTGAAGAAAAACTCCGTTTCTCTTAATATTGATCTTGAACATTTGCATCCAAATACAAAGTTTCTCAAAATATATTCTTTATGAAAACAGTTTCATAACTACAAGGTAATGAGATTTTATGAGTTCGCTGTTACGCTGAGGAATGGGAAC